GTTAAAATGAGTATTGTTGTTCACTTTAGTAGCGCATGATTGTGAGCCCATTGTGTTGATTCCAATAATGAATAAACGAAATTTGTAAAAATAAGTGAGCAATGTACATGGTATAATCAGTAGGCAGGAGTTCGCCTAGAGATTAGAAGTAGTTAAAATCCATATGATATTTCAATCGTCCTTCAATACACGGGATATAGCCTCGTTTTATAGTTTATTGAGGGACTAAAATCCAACTATCTCCACCAATTTATCAAGGAAAGTAGCCTAAGGTATATGACACCCTAGGGATTTGAGAGAAGGGAAAATCATGGTCCAAAAGTGAGTATTGTGATCTTTGTCCAAATGACACCTTACAATTAGTGAGCTTGGATGATCCAATCACACTAATGAAGTCCTATTTGATATTATAACCTATAGTTTCAGTTGGAAAAAATAAGGATGGTTGATCATTGCCTATGTAAATCTATGACATGTCGCATGATTGAGTTATGGCAAGTCATATTGATATCGGGTCATGGTCATATGTCTAAATCTCTCATGACCATGTACCTTGTGATTTAAAAAGGAAGAGAATTAGTTGAGAAGTGATGTGTTGTGTAATATGTGAAACAATATAATGTATGTTTTCAAGGAAATCTATTTCTCATACTCTTATGTTTATTTTAATTAATATATAATTGCATAAAGTAGGTTTTACCTTAGTTATTGAAAAGTTAGACTCACCTTTTTCATTTAATATTTTACAAGTTTTAGCTTTAGTGTTGAGAGGGACAAAGCTCCTGAGGCTTAAAAATTTGTGCATTTCTTTTTGTATGCCTTTAATATTCACTTACTTTGTGTAATAGTATATTATTGTCAATTTAGGATGCATTTGGTCACACTTACACTACATAATTTATTATGTTGTTTAGATTGTATTTTGGACCTTAAGAAATTGTGTTTGATAAGTTATATATATTGATAGGGCCAAAATACTAGTGCAAATGTAGAATTGTTGTTTTAAACATGATATGGTTGATTTGGAAAGCAATGCAATGAAATTACCTCCCCCTTTTATGTTGGTATTAAAGGGGTTAACGAGTAATTTTATGTTATTCAGATATTTGAGCGTATGTGATGTATTGTACTAATAGTCGCAGGTCTAATGAATATGGTTTGGGTGTTAGGAATGGTTTTTGACACTTGTGTTAGATTTTGGACACATTTTATTTGTGAAAAATGGTAAAAATATATTGAGTGTCTAACTTTTTAATGTGACTTGTTTTAGAAGTAAAACCTATGTTATTAACTAGTTATGAAAAAAGCTTTCCATCAACACCTAGATTAGTCATTTGGACGTCGGACAAAGATTTAGTGCTCGTCAAAAGTTCTTGATTCTGCTGTCAAATAATAATAGAATCTGCTATCAAAAACGTGCAATAGCGCATTGGTGCTTGAGCCACGATGCATGGCACAAAATGTAACAAGTTACAGCGTAAAGTGTACGAGCTGTGACACATTACTCTGTTTTTCAGCAAGCTTGATGTTTTTCAACTTCTTTCACTTCTCTGAGATATCTTATGCATCTATAACTTGTTTTTACTCTGATTAAAGAGTTAATGAATGGATTTAACTTATTTCAACTTATAAAAACTTGAGATCCTTTTATTTTGAAAGTACAACTTGGTAATCTCTTTATGGGTTTAACCCCTTGATTACCTTAGTTTATTGTCTTAATGGTGATTAAATAAAGGCGTATTATATAAGAAGGCTTGGATAGCTTTAGTTGGAGGTCTGAGTGATTAATTAGGAAGGTTTAAAGCTAGGTAATGCTTATTATTTTCTGTCGTGTCCACGTAGGGTTCCCCATGTCAAACAATGAGTTTAGCCGCTGCGAGCGAGCAACTTTGAGTTAGTAGTAGCAAGTGAGCACGTGGGAGCTAGCCACAATGAGTGAGTATTTCACTGCGACAATCATGTCAAACCGCAATTAGCCACAACAAACAAGTTCAATAAGACTATAAATAATTGTTTACCTTTCTTGTGTCCTTTTTAAATGCTATGCATTGTAATTCCATGTTTCTGGGTATTTCCAATATACGCTGATCTTTGGAAAAGAGTTTTAATTAACCTTGATTGATTCTTTAAGATCCCAAATTCCTAGTTACTCTTTAATAAATAATTTAATTAATTACTATGTGGTTGATCCATTTGTCAAGTCATTGACTTGTAGAGTTAATATAGACTAATGATGAAGGTCATTTTATTGTGGTCAAGTGTACATCTTAAAGTAAATTTTGGACGAATCATGGTATTAAAGTGGGAAAAGCATTGTTTGGACCCATTTTAGATATTGATGACTAACCTTATGTTTGAAAAGTATGGTCGTCCAACTAGAGTTTAATGTACTTGTTAGAGGTGTATATTTGAATCATTTTGTTGACTATTATATGTATTTGACATAATGTTTAGGATTAAACTACCTTAGGAACAACACTTTTTGCCTATTTATGTTTTTCCAATCAAATGGTAAATTTTTAAATATTTGTTTGCAATGGGATCCCATTGGGTACCTTTATTTGATATCAATTCCATTAATATCTATTTAATTACATTATTTAATTTCTAAATTATCATGATAGGCTTCTTTTGTTGTGTTTAAACATTTTCTACCATAATAGTTCATTTATAAAATATTTCATTGTAATGGAAGCTCTTTCTACCATGCTAGGGTTTAAAAAAAATAATATTTGAAGTTCTTTCTAACATGATAAATCATGGTTTACCATGGTAGTATTTTGAAAAATTTAGTTCCACTCTTTATTATAATGATAGACACTTTCCTATTATGGTTAATATTTTTAATAGTTAAGGTTGAATATTAAATTGTATTTTCATGAAAAATTAATGTAAATTTTTAGAGTGTTACACTGAGACAGTGGACAATGAATGACGAGCTTGGCTAAGAAGATGACAAGGAAGAAGGTTGATCTTCGAAGAATGATGAGGGCGACCACAATTGCAAAATAGTGGTAAAAAGAGCATAGGGAAATTTGGAATTAGGGCACTGAGTGATGAACGTGTGCAATTTGAGAGTTGAGAATAATTAAAAGAGGGGCCAAGATCCTTTCATGTTCAAAAAAAAAATAATTTTCCCTAGTTCAAGGCTGATTTGGGTAGTTCACTAAAAGTTCTTCCTCCCCTTCGTTTTGCCTTGCTTCTGGACCAATTGCCTGGTCGATTGTCAATTAAACCAGTTTAATAGGCTAGCTTGGATAACTTTGTTTAATATAGTGTTTCAATTTAAAATAAATGTAAAGTAATTTATTTATCATCGGCACTTTTGAAAAAAAAAACACATTAATTTCATTTTAAAACACTAAAAATATTTTATATTTTTGAACGCTAACCTTTCAAAAAATATCTTATATTTTTTAACGAAAAGAGTATCTAAAAATCATTTTAAGTTATCCAAAAAATATTTAAGGGATATATATTTTTTTATCTTTTTATTCATATTTTAAATTTTTTTAGTTATGAAAACTTATTTGTTTAGCATTTCTAAAGAATAAAATATATAAGTTGGCTAAAATAGTATTCCAACATATATGCACAACTTACTGAAATAGATATTTAATATAATAAGATATAAATTATTCAATATAATTTACGTTTATTTTCATATAAATTTTATAATTTTAATGTAATTTTTTAAAATTATTGTTTTAAATATTATTATACTTAATTATTTAAATTTATTTAAATTGGAGTTAGCAAGTGGACAATTAGATTGTAAAAAAATAATTTTAAAAATTTTAACATAATTACAAATAAAAAATTAAATACTTTAGAATCTTTAATAAAATATTCTTTACGGTGTTTATGTTTTGAAAACATAAGAAAGGCCTTTGTAATTTTAGTAATATAAAAGGGAAGTTAGTGTATTTTATTTCAAGATTTATTATAAAATAAATAATATATAAAAGATTTACATATATTAATTTGATTTGAAACAATTATCTTAAATACACAGAGCTAAATATATACTCCCTTCGTCTAAAAATATAAAACATTTTTTGAGAGATTTGATATTAAAAAATGTAAGGCATTTTTAGTCTTTCAAAGGTAATCATTAGTTTTCTTCAAAGTGTCCATATGAAATAAGTTATTTTATATTTATTTTAAGGTGAAATACTTTTTTAAATAAAGGTAAATATAAAAAAATATAATTAATTTGAAGACAAGTAATTACTTAATTAGAGGGTGAGATTCAATTAAAAATATCTTATATTTGTGAACGGAGGGGGTAAATTTTTTTTTTAATGTAAAATAAGTTATCCATGGTTAAGCCACGACAATCTACTGGTCACTTGGTTGTCTAATTTTTAGTTACATAATGCACAATTAAATAAAGTTTAGATTAAAGATAGTTAAATTAATAAAAATATAATAGAGTTTGAATTTTAAACTCTGGTTATGCATGTTCTCGTCCTAGCTATTGACACTCTAAATAAAGTGTCAAAAGGTTAGAGGTCCAATTGATCAATTTTTTAGTTAGTTTTTTTTTAATCAAAAAGTTGATCAAAATCCAATCTAAACATATGGAAATTAGATTAGATTCGATTCTTTTCACAAATAAAATCACGCGATTTGTTTAAACTGATCATTTTGCGCACGCACCTTGTTTTCATCCTACATGCACAGCGTCTAGCTATTGCGAAACACATGAACCCCAACCAAAGGACCAAACCGTGTTTTATATAGCTGGCAATTATATGGTCTTGATTGAAAACGTTGGAAAAGTATAAAAACCAAGTTGCTTAATGATACAAATTATAAGGAGTGATTTAACAGATTTAAACCTATAGGAATAGGAAATCCAATTAAAAACTTGTATACATAATACATTATAAGGATCAAATCATTGCTCTCTTCTTGGCCAAATAAATTATGATTTTCCCCCAAATATATCGATGGGTATGAATAACAAAATCAAATAAACATGTTAAGTTGCATGAGCATCATATCATATAAAATGAAAAACACGAACTTGATTGTTTGTGCGTAGCTCGTGCCATCACTGAAAACTCGAACTTCCACTCAACACCCCGTAAAGCTTCTCTTTCTCTATTCCTCCCGCTTCCCAACGGCTGCAACACTCCCGGAGATCCCGCCGGCGGCATTTTCACTCGGGAATTCCGTTCACGGCAAGTATCTGTTCTCTCATCATATCATAATCAGTTCAAGGTTGGTAATTCACGACGTTCTGAATTGAATTGAATCTCGTCTCTTCCCTTTTGTTTGGGAAAAAAAAAATCTTTGTAATTAGGAGTAAAACAGCACGCGGATCTTGTCATTTTCTACTACTTCTCAATGTTACCCTTCTGGATCTGAGAACCCTTTTTGGATCTCTCTCTGATGGATGTGAAAAATAAAGTTGGATTAGAGTTTTGTTTACATTGAGCTTAGAGTTGTTTTGCCTTTTCAAATCCTTATGGAATCAGCTTTGGACTCTTCAAGGTATCTTGGAGTTTAATGAATTTGGAATGGTTTCGGTTGGTATAATGGATCGAGTTGGACACATGGTTGCTTCCAAACGCGGTCGTTCAGTAAATCCACAATCTTTCTTTCTCAATGAATCCAAATTCTAATTGGAATTGGCATTTCATTCAAATGTGTGGTGTGTGCTGCCCTCGTTTTCCCTTTGTTGTGCAGCTTACAAGCTAAAATGATGCATCGCTCAGGGGGCTGTTTGCGGTAGAATAACATAGAAATGTGGTTATATGATGAGTGTTTTGGTCTGCGATCTATTTGGTTCAGTGATCTTTCGTTCCATTGTTTCTCAGTCGAATTCAATATAACATTAGTAGTAGCAATTAATGAGGCATGAGTAAGGGATTCACCATATAATTTATTAGATCTGTTGGTTCCTTGCTGAAACAGCTTTATAGCAGACAACGAAGTCTCATTTCGATGCTTGTTGAATATTCAATTAATTGTTTTAGAAGTACGATGGTGGCCTGAATTGTAGGCCACTCAAGCCTTGCTTTGCGAACTAATTTTTAAAGAAGTTACAGTATGATTCTGGAGATAACTAACCCCTACATCTCTTTATTCTTTTATAATTTGAAGTTTGTCAATTCATGACTAAACTTGTTTAATGGTGATAAATATATTTGAGGATATCAGTGAAAGGATCTTACATAGAAGTAGAATTTTACCATGGTCTTTGAATTGCAGCTGTAGTTGTGTTGTAGTGGCTGGTGATTGCATGTAAATGTGGTTAGCAAAAGTGAGTGTGGAACTCACATCACAGATCATCAATAGTGTGTGCGCATTTGCAATTGTTGACTGCTTTTGATTTGATTTACAGAGGGTAGAGTGACTGGTAGATGAGAAAATGGGAGAGTGTGCATTTGCAATTGTGGATTGCTTTTTATTTGATTTACAGAGGGTAGGGTGATTGACAGATGAGAAAATGAGAGTGTGTTGCTAGGGAAAAATCTCTTAAGGGTTGGTATTGGGCTGTTAAATTCTTAAATTAAGAGTATAAAGTGTTTTATTTCTTGACTGTATTTTAGGCTTGTGAATTTTTCATTCTGTAGTTCATGTTTTATTTGTTGTTGTTGTTGTTGTTGTTGTAGTTCATATTTTATCAGTGGGCAAAATTTTGACTATTGTGGACACTTTCCACAAATAAGAGGAAAGAATGAGGGAGATGCTAGATTTCAAAGCATTGATTAATTATTTCAAAACTCAAAATTTATCAATAAAAACATTACCAGTGGTTTATTGTTGAATTCACATATCTTAATATGGATTCTGACCCTTTTGATGGCCCTAAGATGAATTCAGATAATAATTGTTTTGACAGAGACTGTTGATATCGGTTTTTTAATGCTAGTGTTTTAAAGTGATTAAATGGCCCGATTCTCCATATATTCCAATTTATCTTAAATTTGCAAATCTCATGACCATCTTCATCTATTTTAGATTGCATTCTGCTAAGTGGGTTGGTTCTCAAGACTGGATCATCATAAGAATGTGGATTGAATGTTATGGCGGCTGTTAGAATAGACCAGTAGCAAGTTGTGAGAAACAAAAAGAAAATGGCTCCACCCACTAAGGCTGATAAGAAGGCGGCAGTTGATGCAGCTGCATGGATGTTCAATGTTGTCACTTCCGTTGGAATAATCATAGTAAACAAAGCCCTGATGGCCTCTTATGGCTTCAGTTTTGGTAAATTTCTTTTTTCTGACATTCCTTTTGTTGATCTATTATTCTGTTTCTTGGTTGATGCATTGGCATGCCTATATATTAAACTATTTTCTTTTAATTGCCTATACCATCTGCAGCTACAACATTAACAGGGATGCACTTTGTCACTACAACTTTGATGACGACCATACTAAGGTGTCTGGGATATGTCCAAGCCTCTCATTTACCACTCCCTGATCTTCTGAAATTTGTTCTCTTTGCTAACTTCTCCATTGTTGGAATGAACGTTAGTCTTATGTGGAACTCAGTTGGATTTTATCAAGTGAGTTGGCCTGTGTTTTAGCTAGTGGTCCATTCATGTGTGGCAGTTATTTATAATTTTTGACCATTGGCAGATTGCAAAGTTGAGCATGATTCCTGTATCCTGCTTATTGGAAGTTGTCTTTGACAAGATTCGCTACTCAAGAGACACAAAACTAAGCATATGTCTTGTTCTTTTGGGTGTTGGTGTTTGCACTGTTACGGATGTGAGCGTTAATGCAAAAGGATTCATCGCTGCCTTTATAGCAGTATGGAGCACTGCTCTGCAACAATACGTAAGCAGTACATTACATGACTTAGATTGTATCTGTTGAAACGTGAAACCTAATTGTTGGAATCAACTCATAAACAGATTCATGCACCAATTTACATGGAAGAGCAAAGGAAGAGGAAAAAAAGAGACCAACAAATCTGTGCAATATGATCTCTGTCTAAATATAGCAGCAATATTAACTCACAAAGTAGTTTCATGCACCAATTTCTGGTTCATATTGCATTATATACTGCAATATTCTGCTATGTCGTAATAAATATACCAAGCTCATGATGTTTCAAATTGGTGAGACTGACGCTAAACGGTCTGAGAAGTCTGGGTCTTAACTTGTATATTTACTGTTCACATCTTCACGACTCATGGAATCTCAAATATGTTATGTGCAGTACGTTCATTTTCTTCAACGGAAGTATTCATTGAGTTCTTTCAACCTTTTGGGGCATACAGCGCCTGCACAAGCAGCATCACTATTGTTAGTGGGCCCTTTACTAGATTATTTTTTGACGAACAAAAGAGTAGACAGATATGATTATAGCATTGGCTCTGTGGTAAGTACTGGCTCAAAAGCCATCCTACATATTTAAGTACATTCAATATTTGTTATGTGAAGATGAGAGGACGTATATGCAAATTTCAGAGATGCGTGTGCTTCTAGCTTCTTCCCGCATGCTGCAGAAACCGGAACCGGAATATGAGTGCGGAAAAAAATGAGAATTCTTTTTCGCTGCAATGATTATAATACCTTCGTTTTCATTCATCGACTGTAATTCCTTTTCATTTTTTTAGCACGAGAATCAATGTCATTTTCATTCACATGTTTATTTCCATTATACTGAACATAACTTGCTCTTTGCCATTGTCTAATATTGGTTGCCAATTGCTCAATGTTCACTAACCACCTCTTTTATGTGCTGGTTTTGGCAGATTTTCATATTCCTGTCATGCAGTATTGCAGTTGGGACCAATCTCAGCCAATTCATCTGCATCGGCCGATTTACCGCAGTTTCTTTCCAAGTTCTAGGTCACATGAAGACAATTCTTGTTTTGATTCTGGGGTTCTTCTTCTTTGGAAAGGAGGGTCTGAATCTGCAGGTGGTATTGGGGATGATAATAGCTGTTGCTGGAATGATCTGGTACGGCAATGCCTCTTCAAAGCCAGGAGGAAAAGAACGCCGTAGCCACTCTCTCCCCACCATGAAAACTGATACGCGATAGTTTCTTTTCATAGAATCCCACTGATATTTTGTGTTTATTAGGTGTTCTTGGTTTTCTTTGCATGAGTTGATGAGGATACAGAGGTAGCTGATTCTAGGAGAAGTGTTTAAATTAAAAACCACTTTTCGGTTCCAATTACTTTTAGTCAAATTCGGTAATTCATAAAATTTGAATTCTTGTTTTGGATCCCGAGAGGCTTTGGGTATTTCTTGTAGTTTTAGGTTCCATGAAAAAATTGATCTTTTCCCCATAGGATATATTCTTATTTTTTCTTGGCTCATTATACCCTGCATTGTGTGTGCTTGGAATTGATAAGACTAAAATTGACTGGTTCAATTCACCGGTTGTTGCCATGATTCTTTCAATTCACAGGTTTATATACATTTTTAATTTAGTCTTTATACTTCAATTTTGTGCAATTCACTTCTAATTTCAAATTACTTTATATATAGCATGTGGATGGATTACTCATTTCTCAACTCTATGTTAATGGTTTCGTGAATTTTTTTTCCCCCTCTCATGAGAATTCGCTAGATATTTAAATGAATTTTAATTTAATATAGTTTTTTGTACATTTTTCTTTGTTGTAAATTTATTCTGTTTGAGAGTAATGGAAGATTTAAATGACAAACTTAAACGCATAAAAAATTGATAAGTAATCCTAACACCTGCACATGATCGATTAATGCATGTGGATGCTAGATAAAAGAGAAAGAAAAAATGACATTACTACAAATTCTCTAGCTCATTCCCAAAACAGAGGGATTGAAAGGCAGTTATTAGTAAAAATTATCAAAATCCACAACACAATTATTACTTACTGACATGAATTACACTACAAATCATGCCTTAAAATATCATATTCATGATGAAATGCATGCTAGGCTCAACTTCACCGTTCCAATAAAGTAAGCTTTTTAAGCCAGTACTGCTGAAACCTCTGCCTTGCATACTCCTTGTAGTCAAAGTCAATCTTGTTGACATAACTCTGCAATTGCATGTGAGAATAATTGATTAATTCTTCAGCTCTTCAATTATATTCGCATAGCATAGTGATTAATTTTAAGAAATACTCCCTCTATTTATATTTATAGGAAAAACTATTATCTTTTACTTGTTTTTTTATATAAGTAAAATCATGTATTTCAATAAATATTTATTACACATTTTTTAAATCGTCCCTCGTAATATACATTAATGAGAAATAATTAATGCATGCTTATATTAATTAACATAGGGTATTTTAGTCTAATTTTTTTATTTTTCAGACATAATTATTATGGTTAACAAAGTTTTTTAAATTGTATGATGCAGTTTTTTTTTTCCTCATATATAAAAACATAAAGAGTAAAAATGAAACTTACAGAAATAAGTCCCCATAATCCCCAAAACAGGTGATTTGCGAGGGTGTACTTCTCTGAATTGTTCACTAATTGCTCCACTTCTGCATTGCTTGGCTTCTTGCCTACATGCAGTTCTACTTTTTATACCCTAAGTAACAGAGTGCAGAAAATGAAGATGAGGTTTGATGAGTGGACTCACTAACCTTCAGCACTGAGATAAATCTTCACAAACCCTTGACGCTCTTCAAAATCTGTCATGTTAATCTCGAAAGTGAAATTCATGTGATATTATCCAACAACAATAATAATAAAGGTAGGAATAATGGATTCACCTGGATATTTAGTGTAGTCAAGAAGATGAGGCGTGTCAGAGTGATAATCTGCTGTCATTTCACAGAAATGGTTTGCTAGGTCATATGCAATGGGATTGTAACTTGCATATTCATAATCCTATGTCATGAATAACAGAACTGGTAAGCATGGTAACATAATATTTATAATTACAAATTTTTATTAGGACATGAACAATTTTTGTAACGTTTGATTACTTACAATGATGGTGATGCTTCTGGAGTCTTTGTCCATCATAATGTTACCATATTGGAGGTCATTGTGACAAAAACCAATCTCTTGATGATACCCTTCAGAATCAGATATCAGATTCTCTAGCTTGTTTATTTCTTCATCCATTTCCTCCAACCCAAAATTCTTTGCGTCCTTTGTGCTACTTAAACTTTTTGCCAAATTAAGCCATTTCCTAGCGTATCAATAAATCTCCAAATTAACACTCAATATTTTCATTTCATTCATTAATCATCCGGATTTTTCATGGTGTCTATGTGAAAAGAGGTTTCTCCCTGAGTTTAGGGCCAAATAAATGGAGAAAGAAAAAACAAGGGACTTTAGGCATGTTTGATTTCTGTTTTCAAAAATTGTTCTCGGATTTTAAAAATAAAAAAAAATTAAAAACTTAAATAAATGTTTTTAATTTAATTGTTTTCAAAAATGTTGTGATCACACTAAATTTGATTATAGGAAATATACTTAGTTTAACAAAATTCTATCATAAACCATTATCATTAACCACCAACCATCATCATTATTAGCTTATTTTTTAATTTTAAGATTATTTTTAAATTAATACAGCTAAACAAATTTTTATTTTACTTTGTTTTGAAAAGCAATTCTAAAACTTGTATTGCAAAACAATTTTTAAAAATACAAAATGAGAATAAAAATTAAACAGACAATTTTAATTTTTTTAAAAATATAAAATATTTTTTTAATGTTAGATGTTAAAAAATATAAGACAATTTTAACTTTTAAATATATAATTAATGAGTTTTTTTAAAATATCTTTAATAAATAAATTATTTAATTTTTATTTTTAAATGAAATATTCTATTAAATGAAGTCAAATATAAAAATCATTTATATCTTTCTAACAGAGGAGTATATATAATACTCATACGTCTATTTTTCTCTCTCTATTTATAGTTTAGAAATCAATTATCTAAGTTTGTGCCAAATCTGGACTTTTCGGTCACCAGGCATACGAAGCTTATGAAACTCTCTCATCTTCGATGCAATGAGAGCAGATATTTCTGGATCACGGATGTCAGCTGCTGATAATGTCTAATCAACATAAAAAGTCCAATTAATTTATTTTCTAAGCATTTCGTTATATACATTTAGTTGGTGAGAATATACGACGTGATGTGCCGTCTTTAGATAACATTATTTGAGTTACCATTTTGTTACAACTTCCATGTGTGTGGCCAAAATTCTATCATTTTATCAGCTTTCTTAGTTAGAAAATTCAGTTCCGGATCAATGTAACATCTTTTGTGAGAAAGAGACGTGATTCCACCACACCCTCTAATCATTCAAATCTTAAAAGAGTTTGAAATGACTTTATGGTAAATATGCTAGTTGCTGACTACAAATTGTTCTATTCACACGTCAAAATTCACTTGAATTTATTAAAAAGATGTATATCAATCAGATTAATTATATAGAGCTTTTAAACTTTATTAAAATGGCAATTCGTTTGTTTACTCCAAAAAAATTTAAAAAAAAATCTTTTTTAAATCTAATTTTCAGTATCTGGCAATTCCAACCCTTCAGTCCTTGAAAGGAAAAAGGGAGTCACTCATTAGTAGAGCATATATTCGCCAAAGCTCTTAAACGCATGAATTTAATCATCACTTTGGATATGCATTCTCTCACTTTAGTGTTTAGCATTTTTCTTGAAGCTAATTATAAAGAGGAGAAAGAGGAGGGAAAAAAAAGTTTTCAAAGATAAACAAAAAGGTCAAAAGCGGAGACGAAAACAAAAAGGGGAACCAATCAGACCTTTCAACAAAAATTCAGACAACGAAATTCATATCCCATCTGGCCTTGAATCATTTGCCCATCCTTAATTTATTTTATGTGCAGATCCAAATATCTAATAAGAATATATAATCCATTAAATTAATATAAATAACTAAAGGAGAATTTTAATTAAGGACCACTATAGAAAATTAATTTGATATGGGTCCAAAAAAATTTTAAAATTTTAGTTCATGCTAAGAGAGAAAAATCAAAAGAATATCAATATTGAAAAGATTAAAATACCCTTAACTTATTATGCAGAATCACTAATTAATTTTCTTACCGCACTTGTTGATTTATCAATATCAATTATAAATTATATCTATTTGTCAGTAAATCAATAACATTAGTTGTTAATTTATTAATTTTATTTATTAATTTACTAGCATCAGTTATAAATTATAAAATCTGTCAATAATTTATAATTAATATTAGTAAATTACAAGACTTGTTTGTAATTTATAATTAATATAAGTAAATTAACAAGTAAAATTAACAATTTAACAATTGATACCGCTATTTATGATTGAAAAACTGATATCAGGTCTTATATAATTATTGACATATCAACTCATATTCCTAAATTAACAAGTAAAGTAATAAAATTAATAATTAGTGATTTTCTATAATAAGTAAAGGGTATTTTGATCATTTTATAATCAAAATTTTTTTAATTTTTTTCTCTGAACTGAATTGAAATTTTAATTTTTTTTTTAAATCCATCTAAAATTAATTCTCTACAATAATTTTTAACTAAAATTCTCCCAATAACTAAATATGGGTTATTATATAACATAAATTCTCATGAATTAATAGCACTCACTCTCTGTTTAATGAAAAGTATAGAATGTAGAATTGGGAGAACGACAATTAAGTCTTATAGCAGAGAACTTATGACAATTAATTTTTTATCAATTTTTTATAAAATAAGTTATAAATATTAATTGAAATGTTGAAAATAAGAATCTTAGCTATAAAGTAACAATTATATTTAGAATTTAGATGTATGATCTATAATTATAACTCTTAAATTTATTATTATTTAAATTAACATTTATAATTAGTTTTTTTAAAATTTTATTCGAGATTTAACTGTCATAAATTTATTAATAAAACTTATCTATTTTTTTTGAAAATAAACATAAAATAATTTCTATATTACAACTAAAAAATAATTTACTGAAAATTGAAACTTCAATCCTATTCAATTTCAATATTCATTTTATCATTTAAAGAGAGTTAAAGGAAAATTATTCAATTTTATATGAAACATATTAAAACATAAATAAACTAGTAGCTAGTAACACCAGCAACATAAATATAACTGTAGAGGTAAGAAAAGTGTGGTACAGTGAATACATACAGTGGCGTTGATGAACTCTTCAACTCTGCCGGCGGCAAAGCAGGCGAGAAGGCGGGGGCCCTGGCCGTGCTCCGCCACGCACTGAAACGTCCTGATCTCTTCCTCTCGGTTGAAGAAGATCTCTACTCCTCTTCCGTACAGCCTCACCAGCACTCTCCTCAATACGCAGTCGTTTTGGGACCACCACTTGATCTGAAACACCTCGTTCGTCATCGCACCCTTCAGCGGTATAACCTGCATCGTCTCCTCTGCCTCTTCTATGGCGTCCCCCAACTCCGCCGGCACCGTCGCCAGAACCTCCATTATCTCCTCCCCTGTCACCCCTCCTCCTTTCAACAGTTCCATCGTCTTTATCGCCATTTCAAGCTGATTTGATGCAGAGAAAACAGAGTCAGTAGAGTAAAGCTTTCGCGAATGGCTAAACCCAGAAAGAAGCGTCAGGAAAGATGGACACTTTTTAGACTGAAGTGCTATTTGGATTTTCAATTAAGGATTATTTGATCTTAAACGGATAAATGAAATGCAGAATTTTTAGTTTCCAAGCTAGTTAGATGGACAGAGCAAACTGAAACAGACGTTATAGAGCAGAGCTGTGCTTTGATGATTGAAAGAATCCAAAAGGATGCACCAGGAAAGAAGAAATTTTTCGGGAAGAGTACTGTTTAGACAATCAAATTTGCTTGTAAAGGTAGATGATCCTAAACTTTAGAAAATAATAATCATTTCAAAACATCAATACAGAGCATACCGACAAAGATGAAGTAAAATTCTAGAGACCAGAAAAACTGGAATAAATTCAATCATCCATACTTTCAATAACTCAGAAAGATTACTAGCTTCAGGAAACAGGTTGCAGAATTGCAATGCAATACAAACCCCTGTGTAGTGAAATGTTGATTCGGTGTTCAATCGAATCTGAAGAACAGAGGGAGACAAACAGAGCAAAGCCAAGCGTTCATGAAGGAACAACAGACAGACCCACTGAAACAAAGAAGAAAATTTCAACAGCCCAGCTGTGAATCCAATGAGAAAAAAGTCTAAAGGTTGAATTGGTGTTTTAGAAGCACGCCAAAGAATGAGAAAATAATATCAGGAACATAACTGGTTTGACTGAGATATTTTCAAGTCAAAGAAGAAACAGAGAAGTGCAGATATCAGAAGTGAAAAACATGAACAAAAGTGAGATGATTAGGGAACACAATTGTAATAGAAATCATCAAAAGTTGACAAAACATAAACTAAGAGAGAAAAACGGGAGAGGGAAATGGCGAACGGACCAAAGAAAGCAGAGAAAAGAGAAGAGTCGGAGCTGCGGAAGAAAGATTTTAGTATTTTCGCAGAGGGATGAGGACGGTGACGATCTCTATGGGAAAAGTCAGAAAATGGAACCAACAAATGCTTGAAAATAGGGAAGTCTGGACCAATCAGAACACACACACTCTAATTCTTTATTTACTGTACCTTCCTGTCATCATAACGATCAAAACATTGGTTTAAAAATCGATAACCAAAATGGTGGTTAAATTATGGTCAAACCTGGACAAATTATTTCATTAAATCAGATAAAATATTTTGGCCTGAAAAAAAAAATATCAGATTAAGTATTGGTCCAACTGGTTGGATTGAGTTGACTTTCAATAGTATGCTTTTACCAACAGAACAAGAAAATCACATTGCATTAAAAATGTTCCAATTTTTTTTTGGATTCCCCTGCACTTCTCCTCCTTTGTATTTAACTATTTTCTTTTTATATTTGAATAATATATGAGCTACCATTTATCTTATCAGATTTCCAATTTGAATTGTGGTATATAGTTTAAATCTACAAATAATAATGAGCATGGCATGTTTTTTTTTTTTTTGGTTTGATTAAACGGACCTTGTACAACTTTCAAAGGGAATTCCAATATTATATAAAAAAATTAGAGACTACCCAGATACCTTCTGATAATCATGAAAGTTGCTTACACTTTTGAAACTGAAAAGTAGAAATTTTAATTGAGAGGATCTCTGCTCAAAGAATGGATTGTGAAGCTCCTTTCATTCAAAATATAAATAGTTTTTAAACAAAATTTATATATCAATAAAGCACTCATTTTCATAAAAATACGTAATTTTTTTATCCTTAATTTTAATTACCAATGTAGTTTATGAATGAGAGATACATCTACACAAATATTTAAGTTAATAAATATAAAGATAAAATAAGAAAAAATTTATATATACCAAATTATTTATATTTTAAATCAAGATTAGCCAAAGGAAAAATGTTTGTATTTTGGGTTGAAAAAAATAATAATTAACAAGTGAATTTAAGTTTTGACGACAGCATGCATTCTGTCCAAAATGGTATCAGATTTTAAACTTTTTCAAGAATGATTCATTGATGCTCTCGCTGCATAACTTCCGTCTTTCGTGGTGGCAGATGTGTGGACTTTTTTTTTTTTTTTTGAATGAAAAGACACAGTCAAGACTGTATTAAGGTTATGAAAATCAGGATACATCAAAATTTAAGATATTCTTATATTTCATAGACAAAAAATTATAAATAAAAAAATCATAGTTGTCATGCAAAGTTTTTCGAATGAGCAAATCAGCGTATTTATTTATTTTTTTGAAGACATGTCTGGACTTTTATTGATTTATACAGATATCTAGACTTTAAAAGATATGAGTATTAATTCTATTTTAATTGATCACTCGAGTATGCTTCCCCCCATTAGTTTATTATCGTATGTGATTTATGAATGTGAGTGGGACGAAAAAAATATTTAATTTAATTGACTCAAATGTATTTTTCCCTTTCGACCAAAAAAAGTATTTTTCCCTTTTTATTATTTTTTCCTGATAACAAGTTTTCACATTTAATTAACTACTTCTAATGAATAATCATAATCTCAATTTCAAATTATAAGATAATTTTACAAGCATTTTATTATCTCAAGATATAAGATAATTTAATAAAAAATAAAATTTTATTAATAATATTTTTTTAATATTACTCTTTAAGTGGAACAAGAATTGAAATAAGTATAGCACATATAGGATTAAATGTATAAAGTTAAATAAATAATATTTTTAAAAGTTTATATTTTTATTTTTTTTAAAATAAATTTGAAAAATATTATTATTATATTTTCCTTATATACGCAATATTATTTTAACTTGTCCTGCAATTTAGAATAATGCAGTGCATATATTAATTCAGTTTAGTGGATATTTGCCCCCCGAAAAAAAAAAAAGTAAAATCTAACGCAATGATATTTTCCTATCCTCGTTCTTCCCTGGGTCACAGCCTGGTGATGTGATTACGATTCGTTTGACAGAGACAGGGTTGAGACACGTGGAAGGCACGTACGGTAAGTCTAAAAAACAATAGATATTTGTACCCCAATTCGGAATTTTCCTGATACGGTTTTATAGTTGATTTGTTTCTGTAAGTTATCTTCGACTTGTTATAGCTGATGAGCTTTTTTCTCTGACCGTGGCTTCTTCATGAATTGCTGCAATACGTCAAATCCTAACACTCCAGTTTGCTGGCGGAGCTCTGTAGCAGATGACGACTGGCTGGTGGTGCTGCTTCACAAATCTTTCCCCCTGCTGACGCTTTCCAAAGATGTCTCAGGCTTGTCCTTGTTGCACGTGTTGTTTGTTGAATTTTGGTGTCTTTGTTGGAGCCTCGTTTCTTTCGTAGTCTTGTCTTCTGTCCGGGTCTTTGTTCAAGTTGTCCGTTTGCTTTTCATGTGTCTCTGTTTTTTCTTTTTCTTTTTTAAATAAAGTTAAAGGGTATCGGTTCCTAAACTATATCAAACAAATAATATTTTAAATTTTAAATTCTTAAAATGTATACATTTTTTTTCAGTTTTTAATTTTTAAATGCCTAAAATCTTACCATCAAGTTAAAAATAATCATTATTTTTATTGTTATGAACCTAGTCGCACATTGATAAGTCACTCATCTTACCTCTTAAAAATAACAATCATTTTCTCTAATTTAATACAAAATTTCAGGGGTTCAAAATTTAAAAGTTAAAGAAAGTTGTTTTACATTTTAAAAATTTAAGGTCTAAGGTATTACTTACGTAATAATTTAAAATTTATGATATCTATTAACCTTTTTTAAATTAACCAAGGGCCTTTTGGTTGTTGTGGTTTTACTTTTTAAAAAATAAATTGTTTTTTTTTCAAAACAAAAAAAAAGTAACGAGGATTATTTTTAAATTTTTAAAAAGCACGATTAACTATGGTTTGAAAAGTAGTTAGGAATTAACCTTTTAAAGGAAATCTAAATCTAAATCAAAGGTCTCAAATGAAATTTCATTTCAAAAGAACTTTAATTTGTCTGACTTCAAAACCCAACGGGTCCAAAATTTTAGCATAATATCTCTTCCAGAATGTAGAATAGAACATTTTAATTTAAGTTTCAAACCATTGAATTCATTATAATTATCAGACATGCAATGAATTGATAACAAAGAAGGGGAAAAATTAAAATGACACTAGAGATGTTCTAGCAACTTTCTTACATTTATATATACATACATACATACATACATACATATATATATCAAAGCATACTCCCTATGTTCAAAAATATAAGTTTTTTAGAGATTAAATATTAAAAAATATAAGATATTTTTAGTGTTTCATGATATAATTATTATATTTTTTTTTTTCAAAAGTGCTTCTAATGAATAAATTACTTTACATATATTTTAAAATGAAATACCTATTAAATAAAATTAAATATAAAAAGATATTGTTAGTTTGAAGACAAACAACTATTTTATTAAGAGTCAGATTTGAAAGTATTACTATTTCTGCTCATCTACACTCAAGTGAATTGTAACAATTTTGTTAAAAAAAATATTTTGTATGTTAAAATATCATGTGGGCCTTATAGTAAAAAATAAATAAATGTGGGGTTCATGATAAAAATAATAATAATAGCAAATATAAGATTAATAGTTAAAATTATAGGTATGAGATATATTATTTGTTGTTTGTATTTTGTATGGATATAAGATAATAAATTGTACAATAAAATATAAAGTTAAATAAAAAATTATAATATAATATGTTTTATTGTTTAAATTTTAATTTACATGAGAATAACGCATATAGAAATAATAAATTATTTTTTTGTATTTTTAATATACATTAGTAACATATTTTTATATATAATTGTTCATGATTTAAAGTAAATTTATGTGAAGTTTGGCTTTTTAAGGAAGAAAGAAAAAATTTTATATTTTGCTATAAAAAATAAAAAAAAAATATTAAAAAAAGAAAAGTTCACTGAAATTTATAGATATTATTTTATATCATTTAAATACAATTTTTTAATATACAGGGGATGTTGTTCATGTTTTCAACATGTATGCAGGAAAAATTTAAAATATAACCAGTTATTTAAATTTTAATATATATACAATAATACAAATTTTAAAATTTAACTTATAAAATATAATTTTATTTCAAAATTAAAAAATTTAAAGTAAAAAAATTATCATTTAAATTTTAATTTATGTGAAAATAACACATCATATGATGTATAACGAATTGTTTATTACGTTTTTCATATACATAGGAGTAATAAATTATAAAATAGTATACCTAGAAACAAAATAAGTTATTGTCGATATTCTTAATATGCATGAGGTAGCAAATTTATTATTAATAAACTCCATGCATTTAAAAATATAAGGCATTTTTAAAGGGTTTGATATTAAAAGTTTAATATATTTTTAGTCTTTTAAAGTGTAATTATCATTTTTTTAAAGTAACCCTATTAAATAAATCACTTTATATTTATTTTATGATAAAATACCTCATTAAATAAGAATAAATATGAAAATATAAAATTAATTTGAAGACAAATAACTACTTTATTAAAGATAAAATTTGATTAAAAATGTATTACATTTTAAACGGATGAAGTATACAAGTATACCATAACTTAAAAACTTATTAAAAATATTGCAATCATATACTTCAAGTTTAATCCTGTGAGATTGATAAATTTATTTTTCATTGCACACCTCCTAACTCTAAATATCTCTTAGTTATTATTTTTTATCATTATAGGCATCTATATGATTAATAAATAATACTATAATATTGGTTATTCTACTTGCTTAATTTAAAATCATTATTCATATTTATTTTTACTTTTGGCTATAATCATGATTTATAGGTATTATTATGACATAAATTATAGTGCATGATTCATTAGGGTACATGGTTTATATTTCTCATGATGCAT